ATCTCCTCGAAGACTACAGAGAAAAATAAGTTATTATATGTAATACTCCAATCTGAAAAATTAATAGAGTAATCACCCACCAGGATTAAACTGCTTGATATTTGTTATATTATTCCCATTGACTCCATTTCTACGTAATATTTCTTTTAAATCATCAAGAGTTTAAGCAAGAAATAGTTTTGTAGCTTCTGGCTAAGGCTTTCAATAAATTTCATAAGTCTTATTGCTAGACCTAATGTAAAACTAATACTACAGAATTTTTCTTCTGTTAATTTAAGAAAGTCAAAGCTGATAATTTCTTTCCAAAATGTTTAATTATTTTTTTGATGAATGTAAAAAAAGATATATAGTAAGCTAGTAAGCAAATCGTAAATAAAAGGCAAGCGAATATACAATTGAAAGTAAAGCCTTCTGTGTATTCTATTATATAAATATTGTAGAAGGCTTCATTTTTCTAGACACATATCCGGATATGTCATCCAGGATATCCTTCTCCAGAAATATTATATAAAATAATGGAAGAAGGATACCCTATCACTAGTATATATCTGGGTGTGATACAAAGGCTACATCTCAATGGTATGTATTTGGGCATATGTGATATATATCTGAAAGTAGAGCCTTCTTCAGAATTATTATATAAAAAATTGGAAGAAGACCCTATCTTTCTAAACATGTACTTAGGTATAGTATAAATGGGCAGGTCATGAAAATACATATCACACCTCTAACCTCAGATGCAAAATTGGCATATATGTACTGTCACAATAGTTGGATTATAGGATGACACACTTTTAGCAATCATTTAATTTTGGCTAATACTATTCTATGATTTCAGCTAGATTTTTGGACATAATAATTCAGTATCCAAACTGGTGAACTAATAGAAACCTCTTTAGCATCCTGCAATTCCTCACTAGTTCTATGACAGCTTCAAGATACTACCAGGTTACTACTATGACGTCTTCTTAAACTATGTACCCAAAAGATCAGCCAGAAATTATACTATAGTACTGACTAAATTTAAACACAGATTTACATTGAATTTACTACATCACCTATCATCTTTTTTTTGGCATTCTAAAGACAACCAAATAGGCGCACACTACACCCATATTTACTGACTAATAAGTCACAAACAGGGAAAGCCGACCCTGTCTTTAAGACATATTAGTCAATGGTTTATAATGACTTAAGACATATTAATTAATAGATTATAATAACCTAATACATATTAATTAGTAGATTATAATGACCTAGGATATATTAATCTAGTGTAAGTGAATTATCTTAAGACATATTAATATATTAATATATTAATATGTCTTAGGATAATTTACTAGTTTATTATTATAAATTCAACTAAATATATCTTAAATTTTAAGACATAATAAATTGTTGAGTTAATTCAAGTATAACAGATACTTGTAGGGTTTAAAGAAAATCCTAAATTCAGAAATTCAAATATTTAGAATCAATTATCATAACCTTTTGATTTAAATATTAAGATAACTAAAAATAAACTCAGTAATAATGTTTTAAATTCATATGTAAAAAAGTCTATTTTTTTTTGATAGTAAATCTGAACATACTATCTAAGCTTATCAAAATTATACAGAAATATGAATTAATCATATAGTATAATATATTATCAAATTTTCTATCTATTCACTCACAACATTTATGCTTAGAAATTGATAGACATCTTTAGCTATATTGTTTTTTAATCAACTATTTTCTAATTTTAAATGTAATAAGAAGATAGATTTTTATATGTATCTATAAGAAGGCAGATACATAAAAAATTATAGATACAATAAAATTATGTATAAAGGTATGATATAAATACAAGGTAGATTAAAAATAAGGAGATATTTGAGATTTAATATAAGATATAAGTATTATTATAACAGAAAAATATTTCTGATAAAATAGTAAATTATACTAGTAGTAATAATAAATTTTTTTAAACAATCTATAATAAAATTAATCTAGATTTATTGATTAATATATGATTTATTACTTATAAATATCTATAGAATTTTAAAGTAAATTTATTTTTTTAAAAATCTACTTTAATATATAATTACCATATTTTATTGTAACCTTTTTCCTATCTTTTACTCTATTTGGCCATTTAATATTAATATAATTCATAAAGTGAGAATAACATACAATACCTACTATTTTAGACTATTTAAAATTAATAATTTTATATTAAAGCCGTAATTATTCTTTTTATCTTGACAAATTAAAATGTTTCTCTCATATAAATTTTTATATATATAATGTAAATTATGCAAGTTATTAATCACTTTAGTGATTTTTATTTTTAAAAAATGCCATTTATTATTATAAGGGTATGGTAATTCAATTTAATATTAAGTGATAATTCAAACATTCCATATAAATCAATAGCCAGCCTTTAGGAATTGAATAATAATTGAAACATATTTGTCATTGATTAAGAATGTACTGCAAGTAAATAATACTAAATAGCTTTAATATAGGCTTTATATTGTAATAATATATTATCAATTCTTTAAAGTGTAACTTTTTAAGAAGATAATCACTATGCTAGAAATTGATTTAAACATTATAAGATATATATTAATAAGCTATTAGCATTTTAACAAAAAAAAAAAAATTAAGATATTATAATAAATAATGTGAAATTGATTTTTGAATATAAATATTTAAATCATGATAATTATAGATTATAATTTTTAAATAATAATGAATGAAAAAGAATATTATTAAATGCTAAATAACAAATAACAAATTATTACTTTATTTAATAATAATTAAATCGAATCAGTTCTGAAATTATAATACAAATCTAAAGATCTGAATATTTAATCACTTGGACCAAAATTTTTTGAAGATTTGACAGGCAGGCCAATCCTTTTTCTCATGGGTATTTCTTTGTCCAAATCAATAAAATCGTTCCATAATAACATATAATCAACTTTCGCGCACATATAATTTGCTCCGGATTCATAACGGTTCTGTTTTCTAGTCGATCCAACATTTTCGTTTGCTTTGTTAATAATGACGTCTTCCACATTGGCTTCGATGCACTTCCGAAGAGCCAGCTTTTCTGCAGAGCATGAATCAGATAAAGAATTTTACGATGGAAGGATTCTGATTTGAGAAAAATAATCGGGGGGGGGGGGGTTGTATTTTTTATACAATTTTTCCGTCGCACTATTGATCAGATAAATCTAAATAATTTATGATTGGTTAAGAAAATTTAAGTTGCTTGCGTAATTCGCATTAAAAAATTTTCTCAAAAAATAAAACTTGAAATTCATTATAGTTTAATTTGCAAACTTTCGTCACTATGGCTTCATATCAACAAGACGTTAGAATGGATTTGGATCAAAGTCCTATAGAGACTTTGAATGAGCTTCGTAAGCAGTGTCCACCTGAATTACAAGAATATCTAAACACATTCGAAGACAATTATGATCGAAAGCTATGGCACCAACTTACCATAAAGATTGAGGAGTTTTTTTCGATACCGATTTCTAGTCCGTTTCAAGTACCGTTGTTTCAACACTTTATATCTGATTGGGAGAACAAGATGAATAAACTTAAATTAGTATCGTTGGGTCTTTCTGTCGTGAAACAATTTGAGGGTAAGGGATATAAGAAATTTTATCCGATTTCGTTGAAGGATTTAAACAATTCTCATAATCATCTTACTCTTTACTTATTTATAGATCGTAATCAGGAATTAGCCTTCCTAACGTCTCTTGTAGATAAAGTTGACAAACCGGATACGCGTGATGCATATGTTCATGCTGTAATGGAAACAGCTTATATAAAACTTATGTTGAATGATTTTGAGGGAACAAAAGAATCCATTGATAAATGTGAAAAAATTCTCGATAAATTTGATTCGGTGGAAACCGTTATTCATGCTAGTTTTTATAGAGTTGCTGCTGAGTATTATAAGGTAAAATAATATAAATTTAACCTGTAAATCTTAAGCTACACAAATCATTAATATTTCAACGAGAAATCATTAAGTTATGAATTTAGTTTTCTTGATTTTTAAATTTAGGCAAAAGCGAATTTTCCAGAATTCTACAAGAATGCTTTGCTTTATTTGGCATGTATTAATCTTGATGATTTGACATCAGAAGAAAAAACCAATAGAGCTTATGATTTGGCAATTAGTGCGCTCATGGGAGAGACCATTTATAACTTTGGTGAATTGGTTGGTTCAATAATTTTCTATTATGAGGGAAACATATTATATGTAATACGCGTAACCGTCTAACAAACATTTTTTATATTAGTTGATGCATCCTATTTTGGATGCTTTGTCAGGAACTCCCCATGAATGGCTTAGAAATCTATTATTTGCGTATAATGCAGGAGATCTTACAAAGTTCGAATTGTTGTCGGTGAATTTTACTCAACTGGTAAGAAGAGTTATGAACAAAATAATAATAATAATAATAATAATTTTCAAATTGTATTTTAGCTTCTAAATCTTTAAAGTTTACTAATATTTGACATATTTTTTAATCTTAGCAATTCTTACAAGAAAATATTGTATTTTTACGCCAAAAAATTTGTTTGATGTCATTGATCGAAGCCGTGTTTCAGAGGAGTTCGGATAACAGAACCATTGCATTTTCATCTATTTGTTCTGTAACTTTATTGCCTCCTGAAGAGGTAATGTGATCATTATCATTTATATCATTTTTTTTTTTTTTTTAGATGTTTGAAAATAATTTATATTATAATTTCTTTACTAATCATTTTTCATTTAAATTTTTTTTTTCCTTCCTTAATAAATAGGTAGAATATTTAATTATGAAAGCTCTTGCTCTTAAGTTAATTCGTGGATCAATTGATCAAGTTAAAGAAGAGGTCATGGTAACATGGGTTCAACCACGTGTATTAGATTTAGTTCAAATTGATGGTATGAGACAAAGATTACAAGAATGGGATGAGAATGTAAAGAAAACTGCTATTATTGTGGAAAATGAAACTCCTGAATTATTTATTCAATAAATTACAATGATATTATATTTAGACATTATATTGATTAAACTGTTGACATTCTTGTAATACATTTTAAAGAAAAAAGTAACTTCGTGTTCTCATAAAAATTTTCTTTTATTTATATTTTACTATTATATGATTACACTTCTCACCACATCTTAAAGATAGTGGAAAAAGCGGAAATTTTTCTTAAACCAATAAACATTAAGTTGATATACACAATTCATCCTTGAAAATAAATTGTAAATATATATCATATCATAGTTATTTATCCAAAAATTTCAAGATAATAGAAATTTTTATTTATTAAACATAACATACACATTAGATTAAAATGAAATGTATGTGGATCAGTAAATCAATTACTAAAGATTATATACAAAAAGATGAAAATCAAATGATTGATTCGTTCTTAATGAAGAAGATTATTATAAGGGGAATTTGATTGACGAAAAAGAAAAGAGATGATGTTTATTTGACAAGGGGAAAAAAAAATTTACAAGGAATAGAAAGTAAAAAAATTGCATAATTCCTCTCCTCCACTCGATAATATACTAAATAATGAATAATTGAATTACATGAATATGAAATAATTATTATTTTTTTTTTTTTTTAAAAAAAAAAGAAAAAATTTGTTGATAAAAAATAAGAGATAATAAAAGAAATGGGAAACGAAATTGAACCCTGCAAAAGGTCATATATACCCGTTTAATTTGACTTGAATCACAAACTTGATTTAACCACCATCTCCAAAAGCGAATTCAGTTTGTTTACTTTAAGGATACTTAATATTAATTATGATGGCCCTTGATAGGTCATAACTTGAACTCTATAGAGATAGGAATCTATAATTTTATTTTCCCCAAGCCTGTTGGGTCCCCCCTTTTTTTTAAAAAAATTTTTTTTTTTAAAAAAAAAAAGAATCTCTATTCGATCAAATCTAAATCATTCAGAAAACTCGGGATTTTTTTGAGATGTCTTTTCAGGCAACGCCAGTGTGTCATAAGAACAAATGTCAGAGAATACATCATCTTCTTTTTCACCAACATCGGGCATTATTCCACAACAGTCTTTATATATGGTTTCAAATGATCTACATAAATTTTTTAACCCTAGTAAATATCCCTTATCAAGACCTTCATTTGGTGGATACCTACATTCACTGGGAAGATAATCATTGCCCGTGGTACAGTGAGCAAAGTCTATTATCCTAATGTCTATGTCACGTGGATTATTCTCATCAGCGTCATACAGCAATAATAAACTACTTGCATAAAATCGGTAGTTATCAAGATTCTTTATAATTTTAGCCAACTTTCGGAGTTTGCGAAGAATGACAGGAATTTGATGAACCAATAATTTGCTCCCATTATGGATAAAATCCTTTAAAGTATTATGAAAAGTATCTGGGTTCAGAAATCGACCATAATATTTATCCTGGAATTTAAAGCTATGTGTGGTAGTCTTGTATACCTATGTATAGAACAAAAAAAAATATATATTTTTCTTTAATTAATGATCCAATGCCAAAGGTAATACTCATTTTAATGTTATTTATATCGATATGATAACTTACTTGCATACCACAAATTCTTACTCCCAACGTTTTACTTGTGGTCTTTGCACATTTCTTCATTTGACTCTTACGTTTCTCTGGTGAAGCATCAATTCCATGTTGGCGAGTACCCATTTTGAGGTCTAAAACGCAAGGATACTTTAATCCTGCCGTGAGATCTTCAAGTAAGACGAATTGTTGAACTTTATCCAAATCATCATTAGATTTTTGTAATTTGGAAAGTTGAGTGGAATAACAATGCAACGACCAAGGATTGTTTGTTTTTTCTGCCAAATTATTATCAGGTGTCGATGGTGGTGTCAATGTTGATGTTGATATTGGTGTTGATGGTGATATTGGTACTGGCTCTTCATCCAAAGTTTCTATAATACGCATCTTTGAGGGTCGACGGTGAAGATTTGTAGAAGTGTCTAGTGATGATGCACGTTCAAACATTTCCATTTTAAAGATTGTTGGAGATTCTGAGAGTGTTTGGGGTGTTATCTTTGGAGACAAAGAAGGTTGAACTTTCAAATTTTGGCAAGGAATTGATTGATTTTCTTTCCTCACTGAGGTCGATTCTTTATAATAGTTGTGCATTCCACAATTTTCTGAAGATTCAATAGAGGATACGTCATCCAGATCATCGAATATTGGAGAAACTATTGAACTTTTACACAACAAATTTTCTCTCAATGAGGTGGAACGAGATTTTTTCGGATTATTCTTGTTGATATGACCAAGTTCCGTTAAACTCCTCGACATTTCCGAATTATTGTTAGAATCGGATTTTTTTAGGGCAGCAATGTTTATCATTGAATGCCTCCTCTTCATAGAGGATTCTTTCTCTAAAGATCTTACTTGACGCATACGAGCTCGTAATGCTTTCGGGGAAAACACCTCACTAAGTACTTCTTCCTTTAATTGTTTGTTAACCTTTGTTGTTGACGAGTATAAGCCTTTAGAACTCAAACCAGAAGAAATGCCATTATCTTCGTTCTCCTTATCTGAACAATGATCATCATCATCATCCAATGAATTCACTTTATTAAGCATCCATTCTGGTAGTAAATGTTTATTTTGTTTGAAAACTACTTCGGGCATTGATCCTAATTCACCATTCTGAGATCGATAAGTGACATTAAGGACTCCGAGATATCGAGGTACAAAGGGTAAAAGATCTGGATGCAATTTCTCTAAAATCTCATAAAATTGGTGTTCTCTGTGCACTAGAGGTTTACAAACAGCCTTTTTAGAAAACCTAAAAAAAGATGTGTGACCTCCAACCTGATTAGCAAATGGCATCAATCTAACTGAGGGTGGAGAAGAAGGATCATTGAAAAAACTATTGATTTCCTCATCATCATCATCATCATCATCAGTAAAATTATCATTGTTGTCGTCATCGTCAGAGAATTTTTTTTCCGATTTAGAAGCATCATTATAATGGTCATGCTTCTCGATCATCACATTCTTTCTATCTGATGATTTGTGTGCAGAACTAAAATAATCCGTTACAATTGACGATGATGATTGTGAAGATGTCTCCGGATGAGAAGAATTTGAAGAAATTGGCGATACAATCGGAGTATTATCTTCGACGTTAAATGGAGGAATCGGTATACTATATTCAGCTAAGGAGGGTTTGAAAAGATTTAAAGACAAAGAAGCCTTTCTTCCATGTATTGATGAAATATCAATTAATGACGAATATGAATCATCCTCATATGAACCATTTAGTGATGACCCTGATAATTTTTTCTTTATAGTCGGAGAATCAGATACGGGCATAGTTAAACTTGGGGATGGTGGCGCTGGATTAACACCGGAAACGTCAGCGACAGATGAACCGACTGAGCAAAGATTATGATTGTGTAAAGAATTTGACAAGTTTGATCTACATTACCATATTTTAGTTTATAAAAAAGTTGATCAGAAGATTTGTTTATTGAAATGATATAAAGGTGTGTACAAACTTGGATAGCAGATACTGAATTGGCAGTTTCATTCGGTAGCTGTTAGCTGTATATGAGTGATGGATATTCAGTCTGAAATATCCAGATATCACATACGTGACACAATTGCAAAAAAGGAAAAAAAAAAGAATTAAGAATGAATAAATAAATACCTTGATAAGTTCTCTGATCGTGATTGGTTGTTTGATTGAAGTGTGATGTTTGATATTGGCGCCATGCCGGATAAAAACGATTCGTCAGTCACACTACTTCGACAATGTTCGGTGAAAACGGATACTGAATGTGCTGTTTTTGTGAGAGTAATCATTGAAGAGAGAATTCCGAGAATTTTCTTGCTTTCCGATAATTAATTATTCTTCTATTAATATTCACGGAAAGTAGAAGCTTTTAAGAGATTTTTTTTTTCTCCTTGCCTCGGAATGGGACGAAGAAATTAATCTAAAGGGATAAGCACAATTTTTCTTTTTGTGTGGGAAATTATAAAATGCTAAAAGAAGCCTTGTCATAAATAATTAACAAGACTAATTAATTGTATTCTGTCGTTACCTAATAAATAAGAAAAATTATGAACGAGTTGATCTTAGTATTAACATTCCGTAAGTAACCAGTTTGTAAATTGTCTTTTAGTTCCTACCTACACAATACAATTGTAACAAAATAACGTTTTCGTGACCTCAAACGTACAAGAGAGTATGAAATAAAAGAATAGGATATTACCAAAACCTTTTTATATGTTATACCTTTAACGGACAACCGCTTTCAAAGGAAAAAGACAAGGTTTGAGAAAATTGTGTTGGTTCAAAACGTTGCTTATTTATCTGATATTTTGGGGTGTGAATAACATGACGTGTAACATATGTATGTTATGTATGGTGACACCATAGAAAACCCAAATTAAAATATATACTATTAGTTTTAATAAATAAAGATATCTCCGTCAAAAAATGGTAGTCGCATGCGGCCGAACCAACAATTAGTTCTTAGAAAAATATATGGGAATCCGTGATAAAAGGTCCGAGGGAGAATGAATTGTTTCAGAAATTCAGGAATTTGCTTTGCGTTTTTTTATTTTTTTTTTTTTCTCACTAAATTAAGTTTCCTTTTGATATTGAGGGGCGGACTTTGTAGTTCTTTTCTTTTTTTGGTAAGATCCCGATCCTCCAGTTAAGTTAATAAAAATAAAAACAAAATTGTTTATATTAAATATTAAAACCTATAAAGAAATTTCTCACGCAGGGTATCTCCTCAGATAGAAGGCGCGTCATTTAATGACCACATGTTCGCCTTTATACATTTACTATATTTTTATTTTTTGTTATTATATTTATTATATGCAATGTTGTCAATGCTCTCTTTCATTTCACGCATCACATCGCGTCTCAAGATAAGAAATTCCATTTTACTCGGTTACACACAAATCAAGTACTATTAAAGTTATCCAAACGATATTTCATCATTTAATTTTTCAACCAACGAATTCTTGGCATTTGACAAGGTGGGACTGTTCTCATCATAATGAGAGTCACTTTAGATTGTCGTCTATCATTAGAAATCTTTGACTAATATAAATAATTCATCCACTCCAATATATGAAATTGAGAACGTGTTTTGCGTAGTTGTTTGTTTCAATTTAATAATTTTTAATTTTTCGCTCGAGTACCACGCCTACTTGCATTGGCATTTGTCCAGATTAGGCCTCTCAATACTATTGAATTAATCATATTTGACATGTTAACGTCTATCAATTTGTAGAAGATCTTCTGATTGTTGGTTGAAATTACACTAAAATATCCCTGATGTTCTTTTACCTTCATAATGTATTACAAGGAGTTACAGTGATAACTCCGAAAACTCGTGCAGTTAGTACCCCAAAATTATTGTGGCTAATTATTATGCTAATTAAAGAAATAATTAATATTGTGGCGAAATGCCTTAAATTAAATTTTGTATTATACATTCTTTAACGTTAATTTACTGACTTTTTCCAAACAAAGCTATGATCTCCAAATAATTACACAAATAAAAAAAAAAAGCGCAACAAACAAAAAAAAACCACCGTTTATCAAGAATTTAGGAAAAAAAAAAAATTGGTTTCTCGATTCTAATGATTAGAATAACAAAGTTGATAATAAAATCTTAAAATAGTATAATTTTACATTTAATTTATTCATTAAAGTCACAACATATTCAAGATGCCAAAGTAAATATTCCGAAATTTCGAGATCTTAATAACATTTTAAGAATGCAATATTTTGTTGTAGTTTGTAGTCTATACAGTTTAGGTTAACATGAACAACTTTATTATATAGAGATCACGCAATAACTATTGGTAAACGTGCAGTCGTCTGTCAAGACATCGAACTGAAAGGTGAAATACAAATTGGTAAGAGACGACACCGTATATTAGGATATAAGGAAATAGCTAACTATTTTGTCCGATTTTCGATATAATACAATGATAGGACCTGGTAGGTACAAGTTTATTTGTTTTTATTTCCCTTTCAAGTTTTATAACTAATTTATTTATAAAAATATATATATATGTAGGAACCGTTTTACACCCTCAGTGTAAAATTCTTTCTGAAGGAGGTCCAATTATCATTGGTCAGAATAATATTGTCGAGGAAAATGTGACGATAATTAATAAGTAGGTAATATGGTCACATTGCAATAGAAAGGGAAGAAAAAAAAAAATATTACTGATATATTTAACGCTCAGGCTTAACGTCTCCCTTTCTACTTTAAGTCGTCCATATTCATTTCTTCTCTTTTTACATTTAAAAAACTCAAACAAGCGCTTAAATAATTCTTATTTTCAATAATATATTTTAGATTACCTACAGCTTTAACTATCGGAGATGATAACGTATTCGAAGTAGGATGCTGTAAGATCATTGAACTTTTGTCAAAATTCAAAATTTGTGCTATTTGTCAATCGCATTAACATTTGATTTATAGATGTTGAAGGATCGAAAATTGGAAGCAAGAATATAATAGAAGCAAAAGGTATTAGAAGTTAAGGAAGATAATAAATTTTTTTTTTTTTTTGTAATTTTGTTTAACTTTCCGTTTTTGAAACATAAACAGCAAGAATCCTGAGCGGTACCTCCCTAGGTAACAATTGTGTCGTTGGAGCTGTATGCTCGACCAAAAAGGATGAAATCATTCTGGATAATACTGTTATATATGGCGATCATCACAACAGACGAATTCAAACGGCGTCAGCCAATGTAAATGTAAAACCTTTAATTTTTCCTTTTTAATATTCTTTGGACGTTCCTTATTAAAAAAAATAACCCTTAAATCATTTAAACAGCAAATTTCCAGCTTGCATACACGCCATTTGGATTATCTTCGAGAAGTTTTGCCCAAATTTAATCATATTCGTGTTGTTGGTGCACCCGAATCGCAAGAAATTGTCCCCATTTCGAGGAAAGCGATAAAACAAACAGCTTCACATTAGAATTGCATTGGAATTGATGATTTTTTAAGTTCTTATACAAACCTTTTTTAATTTTTATTTATTCTTTTCTTCCTTACTTTTTTTTTATTATCACTGTTAATATGTTTTTAACAATTGAACAAACTTGAAAATATTAAATGATACAAGTTTCCCCCTCCTTTTTATATATATATATATATATATATAGAAAAGTGTGAATTATTATTGTTTGTTTTGCTAAAGGTAACTAATCCCAAACAACGATATTTAATCTACACTTATATCAGAATTATTAAATAATTCTCATACTCATCAATCTTATAATTATCCTTATTCTTTTATTTTCAACAATCTTAATGATCCAAGAAATTATCATGTGACTTGTATAAATACACGTTTATCCCAAGATATAAATAAAAAAAATTCCAATCCCGAAATCACAAGTAAAACATAATCATTTTCATTTCGTGTCCATCAAAAACTTGTCTGATAGTTCGATGCACGTATTCCAAAGGCAATTTATCCAATCCAGTCCCAATTCTAGGTAAACATAAAAGCTTAACATTTTTTTCTTCACACACTTTTCTTAAATCATTTATAGCCGATTCAAAATCTTCCTTTGTAGGTTTTTGAGAATATATTTTTTTTGTAATGATATAAAAAATATATCGATTATTATCTGGAAGTGTAGCGACTTGACCAACTTTTTTATGTTGATCAAATAATCCTCGCGTGCCATACATTTTTTTAAATATTTTGGCTATACCTTTGCTCATTTTAAAATCAGCTGATACACAATGAGCTAAACTTGAATCCGCTGGTGCATCATTAAATAAATCACCTCGAGTTTCTACAAATATAAATTTGGAGGTTTCGGAGGATATTTGAGAGGGTTGACTGGTGTTCGATGACATTTTTCTTTTTTTAGAGAAGTAAAGTAAGAAATTAAGGTTCATACTGTATGTCATACATAAATCGCAATCCGCAGTTAAACTATTATCCAGCCGCAGCAAAGGTTACACGATCAAAGTTTTTGATATAAAAGCCCAACTTGAAAAGTTTTCTAATAAAGAAAATGTTGGACCTTAATCTTTTTCAAGTTGATAAAGGAGGTAATCCAGAACTAATTCGAGAGTCTCAACGAAGAAGAGGAGGTTCTGTTGAATTAGTTGACCAAATCATTAATATGTATGATGAATGGCGGAAAGGTATCTTTTTTATCGCATTCGGAAGCATTTTTTTTTTTTTTCCGAGTATCGACTAACTTTTTTTTCGAATTGAATTAAATAGTAAAATTTGAATTGGATCAGATCCTCAAAAAACAAAATGCGATCCAAAAGGAAATCGGGTTGAAAAAAAAGGTGATTCAACTCGGTCGTTAACCACTTTTTATTATAATTCATTGACGTGTATTTACAATTATACATACTTATCTTTTATTAAAGAATAAAGAAGATGCGTCAACGTTGATTGCGGATAAGGAATCTCTCAATTCCGAAAAAGGACGTCTTACCACTTTGGAAAAAGAGAAGGAAGATTCACTAAAAGCGAAAGCTGCTTCTATAGGTAACATCGTCCACCAATCCGTTCCTACCTCATTAGATGAAGCCAATAATGAAGTTATTAGAAAATGGGTACCATCGGAGAACGTAGAAGGTAGTGATGGTGTTAAGGAACCTGTAAAGCAAACAGGTATCCTTTCGCATCATGAAGTCTTGTATAGAATTGATGGATATGATCCTGAGAGAGGTATTTTTCTACCATTTTCTTTTTTCTTTTTTTTTTTTTTTGAGATCAGTACGTATATGTAGTCACACTTTATGAATATTTATAATATTTATGCATAGTTTGGATTTTGATGCATGTAATAATTTATCGCAATTAAATAGGAACAAATATTGCCGGTCATCGAGGTTATTTCTTGACAAATGATGGAGTAGATCTTAATATGGCACTCATACAGTATGGACTTTCATTTTTGCGAAAGAGAGGGTATAAAAAATTACAGACGCCATTTTTTATGAGAAGAGAATATATGGCAAAGACAGCTCAATTGGAACAATTTGATGAAGAATTATATAAGGTAATAAAACATCATTATAGTGTCAATTTGACATTACCTACATTCTATAACATATGATATCATACTATATTTGGAGTAGGTTGTTGGAGAGGGTGAAGAGAAGGATGATAAATACTTAATTGCCACTTCAGAACAACCTCTTTCGGCATTTCATGCTAATGAATGGTTTGAACGACCATCAGAACAATTACCATTAAAGTGAGTTTGATCAAATTATGATTATTACATTTACAATTTTATACATTAAGTCATTGATAAATATTTTCTTTGGTTATTTGTAAGGTATGCTGGATATTCTACATGCTTCCGTAAAGAAGCTGGAGCACACGGAAAGGATACATGGGGAATTTTTAGAGTACATCAATTTGAAAAAATTGAACAATTTGTTATCACTGAACCAGAGAAATCGTGGGAACAATTTGATCAAATGATTAACATTTCAGAAGAATTTTATCAATCGCTTGGATTGCCTTATCAAATAGTTTCAATTGTATCAGGAGCACTCAACAATGCTGCAGCAAAAAAATATGATTTAGAAGCTTGGTTTCCTTTTCAAGGAGAATACAAAGAATTGGTTAGTTGTTCTAATTGTACTGATTATCAATCTAGAAGGTTAGAAATTAGATGTGGTATTAAAAAAATGAGCGATCGCGAAAAGAAATATGTTCATTGTTTAAATGCTACACTGTGTGCTACTGAAAGGGCTTTATGTTGTATACTGGAAAATTATCAAACACCTGATGTAAGTCTTTATGCTTTTTTTTTTTTTAAAAAAAAAAAAGTTTTATCATTGGGTTTATTTTAATGGCGTTATCTATTTTTTTTTTTTTTTTTTTTTTTTTAGGGGGTAGTTATACCAGAAGTGCTTCGTCCATATATGGATGGACGAGATTTCTTACCATTTGTTAAAGAGAAAATAAAGGCAAAAAAATGATAAACATATTTCTATTATATTTTTTATATATAGAACTCGATTTAATAAAATAATACGCGACACAGTTATTTAAAGTCACAGAATGCATGCACATTGGTCTTGTATATTTAGAAATTTGTATTACTTGAATCCATAATATTTTGAAAATGTGTCCGATGACAACTGACACGACTCATACATGTCAATTAGTTTGTTTCCAAATTGGTAAAATTTTAGCAATATAGTGTCATTATTCTAAGATTTTGATATCTGTCAATTTATCCCGTACCAATATTATAAAAAAAATTGATTTAACAAGGTCATATTTCGCAATTCGATCTTTTCTCCGCACAGGATGATTGATGATATATATATATATTTATTTATTTGAAAGGAAAACACTTGAAACGCACCTTTTTTTATATATATGTAAAAATATTTATTAAAGATTTAGGGTTTCGTAAGTTTAAATAATAAACATAAGCGAAGACCCTAAATTGCGTAAAAAGTCCTCGAACTTTTACATACGAGTCTTAAGATGCTATCATAATCGAAAAAAAAGTGGAGTAAAAAATTTTTTTTTTTACAAAAATAAGCTAAAAAAAATAAGCTTATCACAATTATTTTTTTTTTTTGTGAAAAATATAAAAGAAAAAGAAATATTTTTGATTTCTCTGATCACTTCTCAGCACCAAATGGAGAGAGATGTGAAGAATAAAAAAAGAAATAAAAAAAAAAATATAGGTGACCCTAATGGTGACAAACAAAAACAAAAAAAAAATAGTTTTTGAATTCGTTTATTTGTTTGGTCACCAAAGTCACAAAAAAAATATATATATAATTAATTTACTCCAAACTTTTTTTTTTTTTTTTAAAGAAAAAAGCACTAAGCAGCTTAAAAATTACAAAGAGTAAAAAATGGGATTCTTATCACTTTTATTTATTACTATAAGAAATTTTTTTTTTTTACTAAAAAACAACATAGAGGTCCCAATTATTACTATAAAAGAAAAAAAAATAAAACTTTGTAATTTCGAGCTTAATATTCTTCAGCTTCCTCTTCTTCACCCTCAAGTGAATCAGTTCCCACTTCCTCGTAATCCTTCTCCAACGCGGCTAAATCTTCACGTGCTTCAGAAAATTCACCTTCCTCCATACCTTCACCGACATACCAGTGAACAAAAGCTCGTTTAGCATACATCAAGTCAAATTTGTGATCAAGGCGTGCCCATGCTTCGGCAATGGCGGTTGTATTTGACAACATGCAAACAGCACGTTGAACTTTGGCAAGATCACCACCAGGAACAACAGTTGGGGGTTGGTAATTAATACCGACTTTGAAACCAGTTGGACACCAGTCTACAAATTGGATGGTTCTCTTGGTCTTGATTGTGGCAATAGCGGCGTTGACGTCCTTTGGAACGACATCACCACGGTATAATAAACAACAAGCCATATATTTGCCATGACGTGGGTCACATTTGACCATTTGATTGTTTGGTTCGAAGCAGGAATAAGTGATTTCAGCCACGGTAAGTTGCTCATGATAAGCCTTTTCAGCAGAAATGACTGGAGCGTATGTTACAAGGGGGAAGTGAATGCGAGGATAGGGAACCAAATTGGTTTGGAATTCTGTTAAATCCACGTTGAGAGACCCGTCAAAACGAAGTGATGCCGTAATGGAAGAAACCACTTGAGCAATCAATCTGTTTAAATTGGTGTAAGTTGGACGTTCGATGTCAAGATTTCTCCTGCAGATATCATAAATTGCTTCATTGTCAACCATAAAAGCACAGTCTGAATGTTCCAAAGTAGTGTGGGTTGTCAAAATAGAATTATAAGGTTCAACAACAGCAGTGGAAACTTGTGGTGCTGGATATACGGAAAATTCCAATTTTGATTTCTTTCCGTAATCGACCGAGAGACGTTCCAAAAGTAAAGCTCCAAAACCGGATCCAGTACCTCCACCAAATGAATGGAAAACCAAGAATCCTTGAAGTCCAGTGCAGTTATCAGCGAGCTTACGAATACGGTCAAGAACGAGATCGACGATTTCTTTACCAATAGTATAATGACCACGGGCGTAATTATTTGCTGCGTCTTCCTTTCCAGTGATTAATTGCTCGGGGTGAAACAATTGACGGTAAGTACCAGTACGAACTTCATCAACGACGGTGGGTTCTAAATCAACGAACACTGTACGGGGAACATGTTTGCCAGCTCCGGTTTCAGAGAAAAAAGTATTAAAGGAGTCATCGCAAACCCCAACGGATTTGTCTGATGGCATTTGACCATCGGGCTATAAGTGATTAAGGAGATTTATTAGCTATGTCATAATTTTTAATTATTTTTTGAAAGCTAATATAATAAAAAAAAAACAACGCGAGGTTTCTCTCTGATGACGAACATAACTAAAGAAAAGAACAAAAAAAAACACAAAAGGATTCTAAGACGCGTTTTGCAACGAGATGATGATCTCGGAATAATATAAATATTTCCTTTTTTAGCAACGTGGTATTCGCGCTTTTTTTAAGCGAAGAAAATGAAGAAAATGAAATAATTACCTGAATCCCGTGCTCAAGGCAATAAAGTTCCCAGCAGGCGTTACCAATTTGAACACCAGCCTGTCCAACGTGGATAGAAATACACTCACGCATTTTGATTGTGTGTTTAAAAAAAGGTGTGAAAAAAAGAAAAAGGTTTTAAAGAGGAAGCTAAAAGCTTGATTATTATTATTATTATTATTTAGAAAGTAAATATCTGGGGTTGGTTGCGCAACTTGATTTATGGAAAGTTTGCTAAGAACCTAAGGATCTTTTCGAGTGAATTTTGAGTGCTTTTAAATGAAAAATTTTTGATAAGGTTACAGATCCGGTAAAACCCGTTGATTACAAGTGGCACGACAGGTGATACAGAATAATTTGTACATACCAATCAACAATCAACAACAATAAACGCCAGCCCTTCTTTGTGTGCAGCTAAAAAACCTATTCTAATAGGTGAAGTAAACAATGAGTAAATCTTTAATTCTGTTTTAAAGGGTAATAAAATATTTGTAGTTCAAATCTAGAAATACTCCACCTTTTCGTTTTTTTTTGTTTTACCATAAAAAACCAACATTTATTCATCACAAAACGAGAAATAAAAAAATTTTTGATGTCGAGATATTTTTTTCTTTTTTTTTAAAAAAAAAACAATATATATTAACAGGTTATTGTCTAAAATATTTCGCGTAATGTTGTACAACCAAAAAAAATAGTAGCATCCCCTGATTTTGACTAAAAGTCAAAAAACCGTCAATTTTATTTTCTTTATAAGTACAAAAATTATGGTGCAAGGACCGTAACACAATTTAATTTATTTTCATGTAACAATTGATTTTATGATAATGTATTACGATGTATGAATATGTAAAAAAAGGATGCCTATAAGATATGAGATTGATAACAACAAATTCAGCATGGACTGTTTTTGTTATGCATGTGATTTTAACAATTATATAATATTAAATATTGAATTTTTTATATCATTTAAAATAATCTTATTAAATTAAAATATCTATTAATATTTTATTACTAATTATTTTAATTAAATAATTTTAAATTAAAATTAAATAATAATTTAATTTATAAAGTTTATTTTTTTTTTTCATTTATATACAGTTATTTTTTTTATAATCATATCTATTAAAGATCTTTATAATATAAAAAGAAAAATAACTAAAAAAAATTAATTGCTAATATTTTTTTTTCTTTATGCAATAACTGATATACCAGATGGTCTTAATGGCAAAGGAACAGTATACACAAGTTGTGAACCTTATTTTTGCCTAACCTATACTGGAAAGATCTTAACAGATTTAACTATCAGTTTTAATCCTATTAATAAGTACTGATTCAAGGATTACCACCCAGAATGACCCTCTAGAAGACTAGCTCCTAAAGTCACTGGACTTTAAAACTACTGTCAAATTTGAATAGAGAGATCACTTTCAGCCACAGGTACTTTTAGTCAATTATTTTCTTCATTTTTACTAACACCAATCAGAATTACTATAATCTCTGCCTAGTATCAAAGTATTTAACACATGATCAGGAAGGTTTAGGATATAATCATCCATTATAAAACTCAGAAAGGTAGATAGCTATCATATACTTATTATCAAACTCACTTAGGAATTGAACTTGATCTATACTTCAATTGATAACTTAATTAGATAGTTATTACGGTAGTACAATGCAGTTTATTATCAACCATAATTATCTTAAGAGTATTCTGAAATGTTATTCAATCTACTAATTACTGGTTAATCACTTTCTTACTTATGTAAAGGTCCCTGAATTTGAAGACGTAAGACAGTATTTATTATAGACCTATCAGCAAAGGTCAACTTTCTGTTGATCTTTGACTTCATTTGCATCCATTTATTCTGCAAGATTTAGTATTTAGGTATAATTAACAATTGAATAACAAATCAATTAACAGTTACTAATACATATTAGTATATACATCTACATATTCAGTTATATATGAAATTCTTATGAAAATCATTTAGTTTTATATCTCAGCTGAAACTTGAACCTGTGGCTATTGTAGTGTAACTCATAATACGAGCTCAGTTATTATTAACTGAACTAGAATTGCTAATCTCTTAAAATTAATTACTAATTCTCTACTTAAAAATATAAAATAATCAGCAATATATAATTAATTTCATTACAATTTTATATATCAATTATATTGTTTCTGAATAATATTTATTTCAGTTCAAAATATGTCTTAACAATATAAATATCCAATAATATTACTAATAAAAGAAATTTTATATACTATAGCATATTTATATAAAATTAGCAGTTTCAAAAAATATTAAAAAATAAAAAAAATATAAAAAATATATCTTAACAATTAATTATACCTTTTTATTTTCATATACATATTTTTTATGAGTTTAATAAAAAAATTTTATTATTTCTATTTCTTCATTTTTCACTATCAATTCCCTTTAACTCTTTTTACTCTTAATTGAATTTTTTCATTTCTTTTTATTTTTAATCAATCTTTTTCATCTTCTTTTATTCTTGATTAGTTTACTTTATCACTTTTATTTCTAATTAATTTTCTTTATTATTGTTTATTCTTGATTATTTTTTATTATATATATTAGCCCTAATATTATAAATTCAATACATAAATATGCTAGATTTAATAGTTTAAATATAATAGCTATTATAAAATTAAAATAAAAATTTTATTATATAATTTAAATTAAAGAAAGAAAATTTGAATTATTTTTTTAGAATAAAAATAATGTAACTCTAAGTTTATATAAAGTTAATTTCAAAACTAATTTGCTAATATTATATTTGTAAATTAAAAAAAGTATTATAAATCAAATTTGAAAAAATATACTTAAATAAACTTCATTTATAGTATAATTAACTAATTGTAATCATATTAAATATCGAGAAAACCTGAATAAATTATGTTTAATATATAATAATTATAAATTTAAAATTTTTCAAAATCTAATAGCTATTGTATAAGATATTTTTAATAATAAAAAAATTGGTAAATATTTTTTGTATTTAATCAAAAACTCAAGTAACTAATAATAATTAACTTTTTGCTTATTATGATTATTTCATTAATTGTATAAAAAATTTAAGAAGATATATAAAAAGAAATTTTAAAAGAAATTAGTAATTAAATTAAATAATAATGTATCACATGATAAATATATAAATCATTGCTTACTATATACTTTTGAAGAATATAAATGTCATTATACTTTACATTTATTTTAAGTATTATGAATTTTTGAATTTTTGAATTTTTTAAATGCATATGATTTTTCTAAATTAAATTAAATTAAATAAACTTAAAATATTACCTATCTTATATGATTCTTATATTTATAAAAAAAATGGTGAAATAAATTAAATATACATATAAATAATCATTGATTTATAAATATAAAGCAAAATATATAGTTTACTACATTATCTTTTGAGACAGTTTTTGAAATAATAGAAAAAAGTCAAAATGAATATGTGTTATCTCTGATAATAGATCTAATTATCATAATTTTGAACTAATATTAATTATTATATATTAATATAATTAGTATTAATATAAATTTGTATTTAATTATTTTTAGAATCTAATAAGGTAAAAATAATTGTTAATTCTCATTATATTTTAGTAAGTTTTTAATTATATAAAATGTAATAAAATTTTTAATTACTTATATTCTTTTTGATTTTAGATCTCATATATAATAAAGTAATATATTTAAATTAGATATGATATAAAGAAGATCAATATATAGTAAAGATAAAAAAAAAATATTATTAGTACATATTTTGTAAATATTAAGTTAAATATAAATGAAAATAATATGAATTCTGAATAAATAAGTAATAATATAAAGAAAAAAAAGAAATCTAAGATCAAAATATTTTAGAAATTTCAAAATATTTTTATTGAAAATAGTCTATTAAAGAATCATTAATTTATTTTATTCTAGTTTGTTCTTTTTTACATATTGTTCCTTAATCTCCAATTTGAGATTGCAGTTCAATAGATAATAACTTATGTTTCATTAACTTACTGAAAGAAATTATTCTTTCTTCCTTTTTTTTCTCAATAAATGCTATTACAAATAACAAATAACTTATACTTAGTATACTATCATTTCTATTTGATGATATTTTCTTATCGGTCTACAATATATAGTAAAGATAAAAAAAAAATATTATTAGTACATATTTTGTAAATATTAAGTTAAATATAAA